CCAGTGCTGGCTCCTCCTCAGAAATGTATCACAAAACAAACCCAGTCACTGAGACCAATTTTTTTTACAGTTCCAACACCTGAAGTTGAAAAGAAAACCAACGAAACACCCAAGCATATTTGCTGAATCTTGTGCTGTTCCCTCAGAAGCTTTTCTGACTTCTCGAGGTGTCCGTCTTGGATCCAGGCAGATGGAAAAGAGATGAATACCTGGTGCTGAGGGGGAAAACTATCCAGACTGTCCATTCCACCACTGCCGTCCCACCCCACTGGCCCTTGGCAAGTCATTTGGCCAAACAGAAGTATTTATTCTCCTCTTCCTAAACAGAGAAATGAGTCTCTTTCTAGAAATTCTGACTCCTCTGAGCTGAATAGGGAAGAAGCTCGTTTCCCTTGAGCACTGAAAATGGCTGTTTTCCATGTTAACTATCCAGAAAATCAGTAGCTTAGACCTAGATAACAACCCCTTGGACATCTGAGGAGGATTTTGCCTTAGGAAATCTATCAGTCTGCATCTCCTGATGTCTTCAGACCAAAATTGGAGCATTGATGTGTTTCACCTTCACAGAAGTTATTTGGCTCCAAATAGGAATAACTGGATACAATTCCATGTTTAGACAATCCTCTGAAAACTCCATAAATCTATTAAAGTATTTGGTCTTCTAAGATTTGAGGTGTAACGTGCCTTTCCCAAGTCTTGAACAGAGAACAGGCAATTTTAATAACTTTTACTACAAGTGTTTTTGACTTAAATACTTAAAAGTACACTTAGGCTTGTGCTTGGCAAGAAATAATTGCAACAGTACCTCTGGGTCTGCTTCCCTTTGGCATTTAAAATCAGTTACAGTGTGCCAAAAGGAGATTTTAAAATGAGATTTCAATTCTTCCACTACATTGCTATTGCTTTGAATGAGTTAAGTCTCTGTGAAAGACCAAGACACTCTACATTTATTCCTTACCCACAAATATCTGACATTTCTTGAAATTCAGGAGGGTGCCTGCAGTTTTTTTGTTTGTATTCTACTAGCAATATTCACACTGGATGAGTTTCCACCTTCTTACAGATTCAGCGTTTTTCAGATACAGAAAACCCCCCATTCTTTAATTTCACAGATCGTGAACAGAGGTGTGTCAGGAGGACTTCAGGGTATTTTGGTCTCTGTGAGAAACCACAGAAGTCCAAGGCATGTTTGTCCTTGCTGATAGATTTGCCACGATACCATAATGGGTTCTTAGAGAAACCTCTTTCAACCCTGTGCCAAGGACTGACCTTATTTTTGTCTACTAAAACCTCCTTCCAACTGCAGTCAGATCGAAAAGTTCAGAGCTTGTGCTGTCTACTCACGTCGATAATACAAGGAGAGGGTTCTCAGAAGTAGGGAAGTGATCTAGGAGCGCAGATCTCAAGTCCATGGAACTTCTCCTGAGCCACTTCATCTCACATACTCCAAAACATTTACAAAAACTAAAATCCTATGGAAAAATCCCGCTTTAGTTATTTCTGCTGTCGCTGGAGTAAATTTCCCTTCTGCTTCCCCGAGGCACACGGCTTTCAGATCCTGAAGGATGTTTTTTGATGTGGTCTGATACTCATCAAAAACATTACCACAGCTGGTTTATTGAAAGCAAAATTTAATTGCTCTTGGCCTCACAGCGCAGTTACGCAAATTATAAATGCCTGAATAGAATCACAAGTGGAGTGGAGCTGTTTCCATCGACATAGGCTTTAAAATGATGGCGCGTGTATGTGCTTAAACAAAAGATGTCCCTCAAGTTCCACATCTGTCTTATGAAAGACGCTGAGTTTCATGATATCCAGGTTCTTACAGTTGGCATCTAAACATTTAGATGTAAGTTACGCGCCTAAATTTCTGTCAGGAGAGGGGAATGAGCCAGGAGTCAAGGTTAAATCCGGGCTGTTACTTGGGTTCTCAAGGGCAGCTGAGAAGTTGAGCTGCCTAAAGGTATTGCCGGCTCGCCGATCGTTTGAATCGCCCTTTGGAATCCCTTGACTGTATCAACAAGGCATCCAAATAATTTGCTCAGCCCTACCGGTCTGCTACCATGTGAGACATCCCGGTGTAACCTGTCATTTGTCCAGTTTTCATTCCAGAGAAGCACAAGCCCTCCAACATCCCTGCATCAGACGTGACTTCAGATGTCTCAGATACTCGACAGCCTATGAACTGACGTTCTCCATCGTGCTTTTGCCAGAAGTTGGGCCAGCTGGTCCGTGAAGTCCTTTCCAAGCTGGTATTCTAGGATTCTATGATTTATTAGTATCTTCCACAGCATTATTAGTGTAGGCATTCTGTTACTCTCCTTTTACTGCACAAAGACCAAGAACATCCTTGTCACGACGAAATCCCCGCAGCACCCCATGGCAGCACTTGCCTTCCCAG